ACATCTACTATTGCTTATGTTTTCATGCAGTATTAAATTTACATTCATTGTTTTTATCACTTGTCTAAAATAACCAATTACATTCAGAAATAATATAACGAGCAAAACAGTTTTTAAGAACAGAGAAACAGCAAAACTAAATGAGTTTTAATAGTGGTTAAAATCCAACAAAGACATGGAGAAATATTTTTACAACAAACAAATGACCTTCCTAAGAACATGCACATGACTGTTCACTCACCCTCCAGATGCGGCTGCATGCAGACAGCTTCTTCCGTAGTCATCCAAGGTGTTTATGTCAAACCCAACTGACATAATGTTGTAAAACTGCCCTGAACAATACACAAACAACAGTAACACTTTAGGTGGAAATATTTTGAGTTGTGTCAGTTATTAAAATGTAAAAAAGAAGAGAAACAATTAAAAGCACAGGGCCTGATGACTGATGACACATTCTCACCATTAAAGAGCAGTTTTCGACAACAGTCTGGAAACCCAAAGAGCGCGGCCAAATGCAGTGGAAGCATCCCATGAATCCCCTGTCTTCAGTGATCATAACAAAGATTATTTACTGATTTTTAAACTTTAAACTTACTTTTTTAAATTATTGGTTTGCATGAGCAACTATTTTATAGTAATTTAATACGCTGTATGATGATTGCGCTTCAATTATCCAGGTGGAGAAACTCACCTGGACTTGTCAGCGCCATTTGTCAGCAGAGTGCTGACCAGCAGCTCCTGACCGAATCTGGCAGCAACATGCAGAGGAGTGTTTCCACAGATATCAACACAGTCAATCTCACCACCTGTGTACAATGGCAGAAGGAAACAATGTTTCAGACAATGGCTTGCTCTGATTTTTAAAGTCAATGAGGATACAGTTTCAGTGTTTCAAAACTAGTCATGTGTTACACAAGGACGAAGTGTGATTTATGTTACCATTTTGAATCAGGATCTGGGAGCCTGTGAAACGCCCGTGCATAGCAGCCATATGCAAAGGGCTCTTTCCTTCTTTATTCTGTTAAACAAAGATTTTTTTAAGAACACGTTTAATTAAACAATGGCATAAATCATCAAAATTTATATATGGTACATTTAATCCTCTGACCAATGACTATAATCCAGTAATACATATTGTTTAAACTTCTGTTTTTATTTTTTCAAATCCATTTATGAAAACAAGCTCTTTACTTGAATGTTGACATCAGCTCCGTTGTTGATTAGCAGCTCGAGACACATCACCCCACTGGAGGAGATGGCAGCCAGATGCAGTGGCGTGTTGCCATGGTAGCTGGACTGATTGATGCTGGCACCGCAGTTCACCAGTTCTGTGGCCACGGTGTCCTGCCCCACATGACAGGCCATGTGGAGCGCGGTGTTTCCAAAAGTGTTGGGTTCATCAATCTGAGATATGGAGGATGAAACATAACCGGTGATTTGACAACACTAAAAGCCTCATTTGCAGCCAAAGAAATACTGCAGGTGGACAGCTGACTTTGCTGATAATACCTTCAGACATTCAGATATTTTAAAGGTACAATCCACAATTCAAATCATTACAGATTTTGTCAAATTCAGCAAATTCCTCCTCACTAAATTCTTGCTTCCATTGACTGTGCGGACTATAAAAGTCTTGTAAATATAATAATATCTTTAAAATGGTGATATCTTTATATGTGAATGTAAAGATGTATTATATGACCAGATGACCCTGGTGTTATCAGCAAAAAGCAGATTACCCACTAGTGACAATGCAGCAGCATAATTAGTGACACAGACCAGGAACAACATTAAACCACACTTGAAGCTCTGTAGGTCATTACGCTACAGATGCCCAGTCTTGTTTCAAATCATTTACAGCTACAGACCACTTTGGTTTGAGGAATGTAACTGAGCAGGGTGTTTCCTGATATCTTCATTCTGATTTTAAACCTAAGACAAATGCAGCAATATCAAGTACATTTTAACCATAATGTCCTGTAAGAATTTATAGTAAATAAAAGAAATGGCAGCTATAATTGGTTAATACTGTGAAAAACAGTGCGAGTTCCCCTATAGAGATGCGACCAAGCCACTTTACCTCCACTCCCAGTCTCAACAGATATTTGACCACATCTAACTGTCCGCTGGCAGCTGCAGCATGGAGCGGAGTGTAACCACATTTGTCCTTGCACATCACATCTGCACTGTGAGACACCAGCAGCTTCACAACATCCAAATGACCTGAAAGAAGATCTCAACATTTACTACAAGCATTTGCTATGTTCGCACATCACAGCACAGCCTAGTCACTTTAGCCTGCAAACTGAAGCGCTGTCAGTATACAGGCCAATTTAATATAGCATTCATTAGATTGTGAAATAAAATGCCAGTAACTTAACCATACTGACAACCAGTGACTTGTTTTAGGGATTTTTAGGCACAATCACATACTATATATTATTATTAGTGACCTCACTTACCAAGGTAAGCAGCCCAGTGGATTGCCTGCCTTTCTTTCTTATCTTTGGCACTCACGTTAGCACCTTTGCTCAGGAGCAAGTTCACCATCTGCAGAATCATAATAACTGCATCAGCCAGTGTGTCTATCAGCTCAGCTCAGCTCATCTCATCTCAATCAACAGCTATAGTCCAGTAGATACTGTCATTTTGTTTTGGTAGCAGTATAGCAAACATACTTGAACATTTATTCTAATAAGGCTCTGTATATATTTTGGCTATATTTTGGTTTGGAGCACATATTGTGTGAAACTACATTATTATACAGGTATTATGACACGAAGGCATTTTTCTAAAATTGTGCAACAACTTCCAAAATGTCCCCCTAGACTGTCTGTTTATGCATAAATGGCAAATAAAAATCTTGAATCTTGAGCCATCATTCACCTCTGTCAGGGAAATCTGTTTTCAAGCCTTGTTATGCACTGAAATGATAACTACCAACCATAAAGGAATAAACGATTCAAGATCAGGAAGAACACTACTATCAGTTTTAAAGATTACCTTTCCATGGCCATTGTGCGCTGCATGATGCAACGGTGTCCTTCCTGACCTGTCTGTAACATCCAGGCTGCACACATGTGGTATCAGAACTTCAGCGCAGGCTGTAGCCCAGTTTGCAGCTGCCATGTGTAAAGGTGTATGCCAGAATTTATCCCGTGTGTTGACTTTGGCTTTGTGCTTTAGTAGCAGCTCCACAGCCCTCTGAGACAAAAAAAAGCATACAATTCTAAAAATACAAACATTAAACATTAATATTTGGTGGTCAAGTCCTAAGAAATGACTATTTTCAATTTCTCCTTTTGTGTCTTGAAATTAGGAACATACTTCATTTCGAGAGGCAGCTGCTCTATGTAAAGGAGTCAGCAAACCCTGGTCCTTAGCATTGACATTTGCATCTATAAGAAAGAAAAAGCAAAATTAGGCTTTACTGTTTGACCTGCAGCATTTCTGGTGTGTTAAATGCTTCAGTCTGTGATTAACTTATTGCATTCATTAACATAAAGACCTAGCCGGAAAATGTATACAAGTGTGTGTGGTTGATAACAGGCTTCCTATATACTACTTTAGGACATATTTCACAGCAGGATAAGCTGTTTTTCTACCTGAAGCAATAAGTAGATCCATAATTTGGACATCCCCCAAATAAGCAGCAGCATGTAGTGGTGTGCTTTGTTCTTGGTCCTTAAAGAAAAAGAGAAAAATCAGTGGAAAAAAACAAACATATTTTGTTACATTTAACCTTATTATCTTCCATTCTATAAATGTTTTATATTCTGACTCAGTGTTTGCTCAGCTATAGTATAGTTTCATTTTATTAGTTCTTGCTCTGTGTGCATTGGCCACTTCGTGTGAAACATTGTTTTTAATTGATATATTGCATCAAAATTGATCAGAAAGTTTAACCATGAGTAAATTAAACCATCTATACTGAATCAATATGTTGTATAGATTGTAAGAACTGAACCCAACTAAAATGCAATCAAAAATAAAACATACACACAAAAAATAAAAAATATAAACATTGTTGCAAAGATATTACCAGTGAATTGACATCTCCATTATGGTTTAACAAAAATGTCACTTCCTCAGCATTTCGGTTGAATATAGCCTGGACCAATGGAGACTGAAAGAAAGATTTGAAATGCAAAACAAATAAAGAACAACATGAACGTTTTATGGCTGAATTTCATTTACGTTTGGATCATTGTTTATTCTCAGATAACATTTTGCACAAAGCAACAAAACCAACAGAAGCAGCAATAAAAAAAACAACAACAACTGAATCATGCAAAACTTCTAGCAATACTTTTTGTGAATGTTAAGGACTCATCAGGACTTGTCCATAACAGATAACGTTAAACAAAATGTAGCAGAAAAATGTAGGTCCATTTAAAGGCCGGTGTTTAAAATGTAGTTTTCAGTTTTGCACTTTTTATTTAATCAGAGCTCCCTATTAGCGTTGCCCTAATGATAGTTGTGCATTACAAAATTTAATCTCTGAAATTCTACAAAGACCGATCATGCAAAGCCACAGGGCAAACCAAAACATATTCTAGTTTTGCATGGTAATAAATCTGTAACGTTAACAATAACCAGCCGAATAACGTTAGCAAACTTTGTTCGACATGTCGCTCTCATGAATAGTCAGCTGTTTTCGGTGGTGGTAGGAAGTACTGTTACACAACAAGAAGGGCTTTATTCTTTAACGTACCTGGTCCTTGATATTGCTTAGCTCCATGTCTCAGTCACTCTCGAAGCGCATTCATTGAGACTAACTGTAAAGTTAGCTGACGCTACATGTCACCGTGTAGCTACTAATTAGCCTATCTTTAGCTTACTTAGCGGCTGTGATATGTGTCTATCGCAGTTGTGAGAACATCGCGAGAAGTCAAAGAAACGTGAGTTGGAGACATTGTACGGAAACCCTGAAGTCCTCAAATGTGTCAATTGATATGCTCAAAAACACTAGTTTAATCTTGTATTTTATATTCTTTGACAATATTTTGCATATCCAGTATAAATTAGATTTACTATTAACTACATATATGAAAATTTTTGATATCAATTTTGTGCTTTTGCTTGTACTAAAGCCAAGGACAAGACCTTTAACTTCGCCTGTTAGTCTAAACCCAGTGCTGAGTTAGCTCATATAATTTGACCAATCAGAGCAGTGTAGTATTGGGGCACATGCGCAGTGTATGAACATGCGTGACTACAGTTAGCATGAAAGACACGACGTTCATGGATTTTAGCCTGGTAATGTCTTACTTAGTTAGCCATATGGAAGCAGTTTGAAGGTCCAGTCCGTTATTTTATTCTCACATAACTTGAGGTTATACCCAGGTAAGGTCGTTTTCATACTATGACACTAGTAACTTCAGCAGTACCTAACAGACAGCTAGCTAACATAAAAACTTGTTAACTTGATCTCACATAGTACATAGTCAGTGTTGTTAGCGCATCAGCATGTATATTATTAGGTTCATCGATAGGTCTTGAATGTGATGCTTAATGCTGCTCTAAGTTCACGCATCTGCATACTTAAATAGCGGACAGGTTTGCTTTGTTTCACCAGTGTTTTGGATTGACAAGTGAGTAGTTTAAGCGAAGCTGTGTTGAAATCTGTTTTCCCATCGAGATGTATTTCCCCTAACTACAACCACTGAGGGGGTCGCTACGTGAAATCAGTGCCCCTGTTAACTGGTGTTGTAGTTACCACAGCAAGTTGAGAGCAAGAACTTCAGGTATCAGCTGCATACTCTTTCTGTCATTTGATTGCCTGTGGTGGAAATGGTCAAACTGGAGCTGCAGCGCTTAGTCCATTAATGAATTGAAATAAATCAGCCACTATTTTAGTAGGTTTCTTCAAGTGTTGCTGGAGTTTTCACACTAGCATTTTTCCTTAATTCATGCACTTTGCAGGTGAGTGAGAGTATGCTAGAAGTCCTCACTAAAATAGGATAATTAATAGCCATATCCTAGGTTAGGCACAGTACATTTCCTCCTGTGTCCATTTGTCAGTGAAGTGCAAATAATGGTTACAGAAAAGTACTCACCACCTGCAGCGAGAAATTAATACAGTAATGTGATGCAAGGAAAAATGTATCTGTTTCATATCAGTATGTGCTGGAAAGTGGAACATAACTTATTACTCTATTGTGTAATACACTTTTATTTATAATCCATTTTTCAAATAATGTGAAACTGCCTATGTGTAGATTGTTTAACTTCTAATGACCATTTTTAGTCACAGCTCTACTAAGCATGAAGTCAGTTGTAAACTAAATAATTGCCATGATCAATATCCCACTGACATCTCTTGTCAGTCACATTAGGAAAGAAAAGTGTGCTGTTCCATAAATTTCTGTGAACATGAGTGATGCAATTCTGAATAAATATTTGGTTTTACTTATCTACAATTTTAAGCCTTAGTGTGTGTGTGTGTGTGTGTGTGTGTGGTTGGACATTTGAAACTAATCGCAAAAGTCCAACTAGGAAATGCAGAAAGCTCATAATTTTATGTGAACACAGGTTGGCATTCATCGTTCAATTAGCAATGCTACGAATGAGTTGTGTCCATGTTCTTGGTTGACCAGTTTTTACAAGAGCAAAGTTCATGATATTACTATTTTGATATATATTTTTGTGGATGGAGAACAAAAGCCTGCAAAGGTCATAATTTGAGGGGTGTAACATTAGAGATCAAGTGTCAGTTGGGGAGTTGTCGTAGATGTACGGTAGTGATTGTGAAGCCTGTTCTGTGCAGATAAGGCCTTTATAGTGTTTGTTGATGCTGAAACTTTGAGGGAAGTGAAGTGGCTGACTAAGTGATGTGGTTGTTTAGAAGGCCTACAGTTACATCAGCAATTTAATTTAGATTCCACCAGCTTAACCATTACAACTTTGCCGTATTTGGTAGAGTCAAAATGAATCATCAAGGCAATGTTTCCTGTATGAACTCATACTGCTACTACTATTAAAAGATGTGTAGAACTTGAAATGGATTCCTTTTGGCCAAATTCCTACCACATACATTTGTTTTGTTTTTTTTATACATGCTGTGTCTCACTGTATAAGGGTTACGGTTGTAAGGTAATCTTCACCATTCAGGACTGGAATATAGGTCACACTAGGACCAGTGCCATACATCATGTCAGATGTAGCGCAGATAAGAATCTACTGGTGCAGCAGTTCTTTGTCACAAAGCACAATGTACTTAAAAGGACCAGTCTGAGACACTGGTAGCTCAAGATTATAGACGGACAAAGTACAGTTACCGTTTGCTGTGGTGCCTCGACAGATTGCTGTGTTTGTCAGAAAGAAAAGAGGAAATTTAGGAACACCTTCAGCCAGGACAAAGGGATCAACTGCAAATACTAAGTATGTGCATACTGGAATCTCCCTTGTAGTCTTTGTCAACAGTACTGTTTTGTTTGGAAGCAAATACTCTTTGAGACACAGGGAGAGGTGTGGGGCCATGATGTATGATCAGCCACATCTAATATAATAACATCTGTTAAAGATGTTGTTATTCTTTTATGTTTGTTAGTGAGGCTTTACTAGGGGAAGTAAATCTGTGATCCAGTTGTCTCTCAGGGCAAGATACAATAAGCCTACTTATGGTGACCCTTGCAACTAGATAGTTTGTTGACTGAATAAGCTGTTATTAAAAGAAGGGTATGTTTAACAGGGATGAGACAGTCTTTCAATTCACTGTGGTGTGTGTGAGAGCAGCTTATAGTTGATTGCTGGGGGACTATGGAGAGTGTTTGGGCTTGACTCAGTTTGGTAAAAATGATTGGAGCACACTGATACCCCCCTCCAACATCATGTGTGCTAGCAAGAATATCAATGGTATTATGGTATTAAACTGTAAATTTGTAGTAATTTAGGATCATAACTAATTTATTATATACCATACCTTTTATGTGCTATGACTACTGTACACGTTCAGTGCTGGCAGAAGTAATTTGAAACCTAATTTATACTTTTTGAGGTTCAGGAATGGAGTGTGGCTACTGACTGTGGTCACGTGAGAGGACACATGACAGACAGGTCAGCACTCAGGAGAGTGAAGCACCCTGCAGCAAAGTGATGAGTTATCTCAGGGCCCGTGGCCAGACCCAACAGTTTTATAAGGCCCCACACAGCAATACAACTGTTCTCCAGGAATGCAATTGCATACGTTGATTAGAAAAGTGCAGTCATTTTCCGCAGCAGAAATTCATGTTCTGTGGAAAGATTGATTCTTTTTGACATGTTTTGGGGATATTTGGGTTTGCACATTTTGCTGGTAACTAATGTGACATTTTAATGCTGTTAAATTAGTTGTTGCTACTGAAGAAAGTGACAAAAAAACCTGGTAATTATTTCTAGCACATGTTCAGCCAGAGGAAGTGGGATTGTTGTGGAAACCTTGACTGTTGGAAAAGCTGGTTTGTCTGCTCTCTCAGCTTGTCCTTTACTCCACAAACCCCTTTAGTCATGCGCTTTCAGAGGAGGTACACACTGTGCTGTGTTCTGAAGTCCTGTTGTTTTGTTAGACTGTGGTTTTGCTAGTTAAAAGGTACAGAGTCTGAAAGTATGAGAGGAAGAATAATGTGGTGGAAATGAAACTCTGGCGACAGTGGTCAGTTCGCTTCCTATTGAGAGTTTTCAGTTGCTTAGTCATCATTATAACTTGTACCTTCTTAATGTTTTTTAATAAAGAAAGAACAAAGTGTTGCACAGTCATGCCTTATGTTGAAGTCACACATTTCATGAAAAAATGATTTTGTTACCTTTAACAGCCACAGCTTTCCTACTCATTGAGGTTAACTTGTAACTATGTCTTATTCAAGGTTGGCTGATATTCATCCCTTGAGGTCCCAGGGATCCCTCAGCCTGCCCTGATGAAGGCCGAGGAAGACGGAGATTTCCTTGAAGGTAGTAACTGCTTAAGATAACAAACATGGCCATCACACTGCAGACGCACCCGCCGTGTTCTCCAACACTGAACACTGAGCTTTTGGTCAAGGCTACAGAGCATGTCAGGGTCATGTTGCTTGCTGACAGAAGTAGTTAAAACTATATTTTACATAAGGATTTAACTTGCAGCATCACAAACTCTTATTCTGACAGTATATTTATAAAAATCTACTTCAATTATCTTCTCGGAATGTGTTTGGTTCATTTTTCTTAACGTTATTTAAGCATCTGAATGCTGTTAATTATCACAGCTGCTTTTATAAACTTTATTACTGCTTGTGTGATGCATGTAAGGCTAAGGTTACCCTGCATATTATTTGTGCTCAAGGTTGTTGTTTGTTGCAGTTTTTGACAACTCCAAGCATGTTTGGCATGTGTGTGGTCTTTACTTCTCTATATTAGTGAGCAACTTTTAGAAACACTGTGTCAGACTGTCAAATGACGTCTAATGACAAATAAGGGGGGGTTATACAGGCTAAGTCATATGAAAGTAGAGACATTGTGACTTTGGGTTTAACAGTGAGTTGGCAATGAAGGGAGAAAAGAATGAGAGGTCCAAACTCAGTGAGTAGCATGTAACATTGATAGGTATACTTAGAATAATTAATGATTATATGTTTCTCTAAAATGTACCAAAATATTTACAGGTCTTGGAAAAGTTTTTATGTGAGATTGTTACATGTGCTGGTCTTTTGATTGTAATCTCTTTTCCTTTATTATATTAGAAAACATGGCTGTACACTCACTGGGTTCAAGATTTCAATAATGCAGTCCTAGTTACATGTTACAGAGTTACCTGTCATTTAGGTTTTAAAGTAGGTCTTAAACAAAATCACTAGTGTGGCAGGTTTGAAATTGAGGTAGAATTGTTTTAATCTTGTCAGCATTTCAGAGGTTTGCACACTGGTTGCAGCTGGTCAGCGAACTTGCACAAATTGCATCATTTTATGTCTGTTCATTTTCTTTAATAATGCTCCTAGACTCCAGCCAGGACTTATGAAGTTCTTTAAGAAAGCAGGAAATGTCTGGTTGTAGGTCATTTTAGTACAGATAAACTGTTGAAAAGGTCATTAATAAAAAATCCAGTTCTCCCAGATGAGATACCAGTACAAACTTAACATAAAAGTCATTGAATCACTTTGATTTAGTTGAGCGTGGTCTAAATATAATAAACATTACTGCTGTATAAAATTGTTTTTTCAATATTTTCATCAGTAAGAAATGGAAAATCTTGTTTTGGATTTGGTAAAAACTGCGAAGTGACACAAATGCTTTTGCAAAATTTTATTTCATCGCTCCACAGATGCCTACACCCAGTTCTTTATTTTAATGGATTGCACTTTATGTTCTGATCAAGCATTGTACACCAGAAGAAAACATGAATACTGTTATAAACAGCACACTCCAACTCCTCCACCTCAACACTGGAATATGAGAGGGTCTGCTGTAATACGAGAAAACTTGTTTTGGTATAAAGAAAGGAAAGTGGAAATTAAAAGAATGTAAAACAACAAAACAGTGTTAAGAGGAAATTATAGAGCATTATCAACATCTTAGAAATGCTTCCATCCAGTCTATTTACCTGTGTACTTATAGAAGAAATGTACATGCCCCACTTGAGTAAGGAGTTTTCTGTCCTGTCACACATGCTGTATATGATGTCATTATCACTGTCCTTAAAAATAGGCTCTTCGGGTGTTTTCCAGTTCCTGAGAATATTACTGCCTACACAGTCCATTTTTCATATGATATCAGAGCTTTATGGAGCAAACAACCTATTTGAACCTGTCAGTACACTGTGGATGCGGTAATGCAATAAGCTCACTCAAACTGACGTGCTGGGCCAGCTGGACTCGGACTTCCAAATCCTCAAATCTCAGGAAGTGAATATGCTGAGTGAAATGCTGCAGTAAATAGTGTTCTGTATGAAATGAAGTTCAAAACTACAATTAATGAGCTCCAGGTTTAAAAAGTAATTTTCTGTCATGGCCCCTGAACGACTGGCGTGTTGGAAACATGTTAACAACTGATGCAAAGACCTTCTCTCTTTAGTAATTAAAGTCCCTTTTTCCCCTCTTGTGTGGATTTATTAGTCTCCCCCCCTGAGGAGAATGGAGTCCATACAAACAAGTTCAGCGCCATCTCTCCTCCTGCCTCACCTGTGGCCGAGAACGATGAATTCTCCACATACTTTGAAGACAAAGTGCCCATTCCTGAAGATGTCAACCAGGTACTGACAGTGACTGCTTTATGTCTAATAAGAAGCAAAACTGAAGCTTGTAATTGTGGCTCAGATGTAATTATGGATTGAATGTTATGGGTGTGATTATCAATACTTATTATGTTTTCAAATATGATTTGCTCTTGTTGGACATTTAGTTGAACACTTGGTTGAATCCAGTGAATTTATTTATTTATTTATTCCAAGCATGTAATAAAAGAGAGAAAAAGAAAAAAAAGGAAATCAACATGTAACACAAAACAACCAAACCAATTACCATATACAACCAAAAAAAATAGAAATTTCTCTTGATAATGCTTAGTCATTACATGCTTGCAAGGGAGTAGAAAGAAGCAATACTTATATAGTTCTACCCCTAGTGATCCAAACTATGGTTGACACAACCCAAGTATTTAACTAAACAACTACACTGGTTAAATTCCCGCAACCACCAAATTACTACATTCCTTCTAATCACAATTACATAATTAG